GTTTGTGCTGTCTTCTCTTCTGTGGTTGCTTTCGTGTTTTTTTTTGGTTTTGATTATTTTTTTTTTTTTTTGTTTTTGGTTTTTTTTTTTTTTTCTTTACATCCCCCCCCCCCCCCCCCTTTTTTTAGAATTCTCCTTTTTTGAGAGGTCATGTAAATTGCTGTGACATGCTCTCAAGGGCCCCCTAAGATGAGCTTTGGCATCGAATTCTAGACGCTCTCAGAGAGAGAGAGAGAGAGAGAGAGAGAGAGAGAAAAGATATCTAACTCCTGGCTACCTTTAGAATGGCACCGGACTAACTCATACGACGACTACGCCGCTACTCTCGACGAGGCCCAGTCAGTCAGTCGCTTGTTAGGCGACGTCCTCGCGACAGTGCCGGCGACGTGTGGGCAGTGGAAGCTGGAGCCCCATGAGCGATTCATCGGGAAATTCGGAGACATCAAGCCCCGAAGTCCTCTGCTAGTCATCGGCAATACATATGACCCGGTAACGTCGATCGTGTCGGCCAAGAACATCAGCGAGACGATCAAGGGCAGTCGTTTCCTCGAGCATGGTGGTGTCGGCGTAAGTAATAGAAAAAAGGAAAAAACACAAATCCCCTTCCCCGTCTTTCACTATCACAATTCGTGACTTCTTTCTGTCTTCCGCTTCATCTCCATCTCCATCTCCATCTCCACCCCCCAAAAATTCAAACCAAACCAAGGCAAGAAAGAAACAACTGACCATGTGGCAAACAACAACAACAACAACAGCACACAAGCATCCAGCAACCGTCCCTCTGCACGGCCAGAGCTCTCCAGAACTACTTTCGCAACGGCACGCTACCCGCTCCCAACACCGCGTGCAAGCCCGTCGAGGCCAACGCCTTCCGGTTCGCCACGTCCGGGCCGACATGGCAAGATTTATTCCCGCAACTCGGGTTCAAACGCCCTAACCCGCACGGCGGGAATAGCACCCAGGCCGGCGGCCCGTTGCGACGACGACGCCATACCGTTGGAAATCCCATCGTGGATCTAGGTCGACGTCAAGCCTCCGTGGCCGTGCACCGATAGATATATATGGTTAGATGAAAGCTTGGAAGTTGGCAATCAATTGCCCAGGATATAACTATTCATATGAATGTTTTTTGTTCAAGTGAGTCAAAGGGGAAGGAAGCATCAGATTGAGTTGTGGTGAATGTGTGGCGAGCTGGGTGTAGTTTTTTACTATGAAATAGATAGGTAGAGGTTAGCTTACCTTGATTTTCTCATCTATTTTTTTTTTTTTCGTCAACAAGTGTAAAAAGAAAAGAAAAAGAAAAAGAAAAAAGATCGTCATCCATCGCCAGATCGCATCATTTTCACCCTTCCTTTCTCGTCGTCGCCATCTCATTCATCCAACTAGGCTGTTTGCCCCCGAGGTTTCTCACCCAACCAACCTCCACGGCCCTGGTAGCTCAATTGGTTAGAGCGTCGGACTTTTACGGTTCCTGTTTACCGAGTCATCCGAAGGCTGCGGGTTCGACCCCCGCCTGGGGCGAGCGTTTGCTGTGGCTTTTCTTCCTTGTTTACAAGCTAGCTAGCCCAGTGGAAGAGCGCCGGGCTCATAACCCGGAGGTCGATTGATCGAAACAATCGCTAGCTAAACTGAAAAAGAAAACATCCATGGCGAACAAAGCTCCCAATCTCTTTTTTTGTTTTGCTTTTTTTTTTTCTTTTTTTTCTTTTAATTTTATTCATTTGTTTCTATTCTTTCACATTTCCTATATATACATAACAAGCAACGTGTTAGTCAAGACAAAGAACCTACAAAAATTACGGCGCGCTGACGTCCCGGGACGACTCTGCTAGAGTAAGTCCGTCAACAGGGTCGATCACGCGGAACGTGGTCGACGACTTTGTCAACTAGGATAATCTTACCTCCTTCTCGTACGGCCGGCCTGAATATCTTAATCCAGTTCGGCTCACCATCGATTTCGTTCCTTTCTTCTATGTCGTTTGCCGTCACATCCGTGTAGTCCGTCTCGAAAATGTAACTTTGCAGACCAACAAGCATCAACGTCTTTAATTGCAAGTGCCGGCCCATTTCCTGAGCCCTTGCCATGATCTGGGACTTGCTAAGACATCTTCGCTTTGTGTTCAGCTCGTGGCTGTAGATTCGAAGGTCCAGAAAGACACTCTCAAGTCTTGGCATCTGCGACCAGGAGAGCCAGAGATGGGCCGATCTGTCCAAATCCAGTGCGTTGTCGAAGGCCTCGGCCTGTTGTTGTTGGTCTTGTTGATGGACAGCTAAAGCTCCTCTGGCACAGCTCAGACTTTCCGCGCTGAGCTTTGTTAGTTCCAGCGGTGAATGGACCACGATATGACGAAGATACCGGTAGATGGGAGTGGAAAGGGGGACCGCTTTCATTTTGACGGCATCGACTGGCTCGTCGTCGAATGGCAGGATATCCCTCATCCTCTGGTTGCGGAGAGGCATGAGGTTTCTCCAGTTGTCCGCCAGCACCTCCCCAGCCGACTCGATGGCCAGATCGCTGGTACCTAGTGTGCAAACATGAGTGTGGCTGCGGTAGAATTGCTGCATATAGTCCGACGAGAAGCCCACGTTGACGACGGCAGCGTTGCGATCGAAGTCTACCCAGGGGGTTAGTATGTGGCTCTCGTCGCTGTGGTCAAAATCGCACGATAAGGTACCAACCTGTTGTCCTTTGCCTCTGGTGTAAGTCACGATCCGCGTCATTCTCAATGAACTTTCAAGCTCAGCGTTTTCTCTTTGACAGACATTCCAATCGGGCGCGACAAGGTCGAGGGCACATCTGGGCACCGAGCTCAACGTCTGTGAAGTAATCATGGCCATGATCTCGGGCGGAAGATAGGGCACCTTGCACTTCTTGGTTTTCAGGAACCTCTTGGACTTCGTCTTACGCCCATTAATGGCATGCCACTCGTCATGAGCCCGCCGTTTCTTCCCCTGATGCCCGCCGGGGGCACTATCTCGTGGGAATCGAGCTACGTGGGCTTCGTCGAGCTTCTGTAAAGCCTTCCCTAGACGTCGCGTGATATCGGCGTCCGACACTGCTACATCATCAGTCGGTTCCATTTGGGCAAGCTCGTGGAGTCGATGTGTGGCCACTCGGATTTCGTCCTCGGTCTTGGCAGAATCTTGGAAAGAGTTCAAGATATCTGACCATTGCCCGGGGGCATTTTCCATCTGTCCTTGGCCTTGTTCATGAAGGGTGTAGCTTACCTGGGATGTCGGCCAGCCTACGGCGAAGGCGAAGGCGTCACAAAACTCTTCGCTGGTGGGCTCATATTTTGAGTGGAACTGGCAAGAAGGGTATGCTCTGTTGTCGAGAAACGGATTCTGCTCTTGCGGTCTTGGGAAAAGACTGCCTACCGCTGGTTCAACCAGCGCGGTGAAGCTCCCCATTTCCAAAGAGTAGACCGAAGATTACCTAGACTGAAGAGTGGAAGTAGATTCGAGTTGCAAAATGATGCCCCGCTGGCAGCGGAGATCCGGGGCCGAATATAAGGATCATTGTCGCCTTTATGTATAGCAAAAGGCCGCGTAAAGCGAGGAAAGAAAATAGTAACAAAAAGCCCGGAAAGCACCAGTCTATGTGCTGGGCAATTTTAGATGGCGAGACAATGGGCCTTGTTCTCTGAAGATCACCCAACCTTGTCATTCGACCTGTCGCATGGCATAGAATAGAGCGGCTAAAATGAGAATGGGCAATTCCATCAACTTACAAACTGTAGTTATATTCCATACACCTGACCGCGATACGAATCTGGAATGACACTGCACTCGGCCTCGGCATCACGGCATCAATCAATGTACGGTAAAACGAGACAGCCAGGAAATGAAATGCCGCGGGCCGGGCTCGATACCAATGTTTACCTACCTGACTCTTTTCGATTCAACAAGAAGCATTGTTGAACAGCTTTCTTTGTCAACAACGACAGAGCCCTATGGTGGGCTACTACCGCCATAGGTGACAAAAAGAAATAATGCCCTTGTTTACGTAGGAAACAAGGGATTATTGGTCCAGAGATTTCGATTGCCTATTTGGGGTCAGCATCATCCGGCGCACTCCCATTGGGCCGATAGATACGATGTTATGTACCTCTATCTTACGTCTTATCTTTTCGCTATCTTTTCCCGCATGCTTATTGTTCTTTCCGCTTAACATAATTAGTCATAGGTAATCGCAAGGCAAACGCCAACCTACACTAGGGTACACATAACCATTCGTAAACAAGGGCCTCCGCCTTCCCCAAGGGGGGGGGGTGGCCTCGGTTTGTACATGCCAGACTGTAATTTGTATGGACCTATCCGGGCAGTTGTTGTTTCGTTATCGGGGCAGTGTCCGGCCCGCTCCAACTGCCAACTGCCAACTGCCAACTGCCAGCACCTGCTGAGCTAACCTACCGCATTATGCTAACCGGTCAGTCAGAATTGAAATTTGAAACCCCTAGATAGCATCACAGAAGCTGGCGATCGGTAGACTAGATTTTCCAAGACAGAAGAGATTAGTTACGTAAGAAGCGATAAGACATGAAGCATTCCAAGAAGCAGGCCGCTCTCATTGCTCTTCTTTATCAGCTCTTGTCATTCGATTAGACCGCTCTAACTATCTAGCTACCTACCTAGTGGATGAGGTCACTATGATAGGTAGGTAGGTATCCGCTGCATTGACGCCGCTAAGCTAACTAGCGGCTCATCACTCTGTAAGTATCTAGATAGGTTGGCACAAAAGGATAAGCCAAAAGAATCGGGCCATGCACGGGCCACTCTGAAGCCTTCGTACAGTACAATTACTACACTATATACTGTATTTAGACTAGCCGAGAGCGCCGTCGGTTAGGCTCTCCAGGCCGATCTAAATACGGTGGCCGATATATCGGCTAACTGTGTGAGTATTCTAATGTGGCCTGTGCGTGGCCTGACTCTTTTGGCTTCAGCCTCTGTAGTCATACCTGCAGGTACAGTAGGTACCTAGTTACCTATCAGTCACCCGAGCCGCCAGTCAGAGAGCTCCGAACTGCGGAGGAGCTTTACCCCACCAAATAGGTAGGTATACAATGCCTGCCTCATGTCTCGGGAACCTCGAATTCAATGGTACCAACTTTTTCTTCCGCAAGACCACGAGGCCCATCGTACGATCTCTCGTCTTCGAAGATCTTGTCAAACGTTCCTAATCGCCACTGCCCACCATGTCTGAAAAACGAGTTTGTCTGTAAGCAAGCTACCCCGTACCTTGGCCTCTTGGCCTGTTTGTTCTCCACGTCCCTTTCTTTATGCTCTCGCGATGATATTAGAGCTCTAGAAATTAACAAGCATCACTGGCAGGGCCTACTCCGGAGGTATGCTGATATCCTCCACCCATCGTCGTCGGTCTTGAAACCCCCAAGGGAGCATCCCAGGGGAGCCCCCCAATTCAGTCCCGTCGTGACCGGGAAACGCCCAAATTGAAACTGAATTGGAATTGGAATCGGAATTGGAATTGAAATTGATTCGCATCTTCAGGACTTGATACCTCCACCATCCTGAAGTGGCTCATCCTCGAGGTTAGTAGTGTTCGATATTAGAACCAGATGGCTTCGTGTCTCTCTAAGTTCTACTTAATTGTGGCTAACTGCTCTTCATCACAGGGCTATACTGTCGTCGTACGTTTCATCCTGCCGAGATCTACAAACCCAACTCTCTGCTACTTTCCCATTCTGACCCGAGCAGTGTTTCCTTGCCGACGTCGGTCAGGAAGAGGACTTTCCTGCCGTTGAACAAAAAGCCCTTGCCCTCGGAGCTGAGCGCATGGTCATCGAGAACCTGCAGCAGGAATTCGTTGACGAGCTCATCTTCCCTGCTATCCAATGTGTGTTCGCCCGCATATTATTTCACCTTACTCGTTCTTTCGACTTCTTTCTGTGTCCGAGGTAGGACGCTGACTCTGCATCCCTAAAGGCAATGCCATCTACGAAGATCGATACCTCCTCGGCACCTCCCTAGCTCGCCCCGTCATCGCGCGAGCTCAAGTCCGGGCTGCTCACAAGTTCAACTGTGGCATCCTTAGCCACGGCTGCACCGGCAAAGGTGTAAGTAATTTGTCTCTTCCTCTCATTAGTCCCGGATGAGGCTTGATATTAATGGCAACAGAACGAGTAGGTCATTCTAAAATGCAAAAACCGGCAGCCCTGGCGATTGCTTATGCCACTACAGCCAGGTCCGTTTCGAGCTCGCCTGGAAGGCCTGCGATCCGTCTCTCTCCGTGATAGCTCCATGGAGAATGCCCAAATTCTTCAACCGATTCCAGTCAGTCGCCTTCTCTCAACCAACACCCTTTCTTGGAGAATGGCTAACTCTTCGCAGGGGCAGAAAAGATTTGCTCGAGTTTGCCAAGCAAAACAACATTCCCGTTTCCTCAACCCCCAAGGCGCCGTGGTCTATGGATGGTAGGTTGAAGCTGATGGGACAGCTGACGAGGCCGATATGCGTATTCTAACGGTCTGTAGACAACTTGGCACACTGCTCATATGAGT